AATGAACAAAAGTTTTAAGTGGACCCTTAGCACTTCCCAGCAACCCCGCTGTATTTTCCTAAGCAATTCACTTTCCTCTCCTAGAAGAATATGTCACACCTTCTCCTCTCTGAGAATCTGTCACTCAGCAGCCGCCTCCCTAGTTGTCCTCGAGCCTTGCAGTCACTGCTGTTACCTTCTCGGGCACCTCTTCTTCTTACCCCAGTATAAGAAGGTATTCCCTCTTGCTTCCACCCCAGGTTCAGTCCTTGGCCAAGACGGATTACATCATCTCACCAGGGTTCTTTTTTTTGCCCTTTACTGCCTGATCATATTTACCCACACTGTAGCTCAAATGTAGTTGCTTTATTTCCTATAATTGATCTACTCTGTCTCATGAACATGGGGCTGTTTTTTCTATAATTAATCCAAGCTTCCTCAAGAACACTCACCCTAGTAAATAGCCAGAAATGTAATATTTGCCAAATAATATCTCAGTCTCTTCCAGTTAATATTCAGACATTTAAGTTTAACTCCTTACCAGAGCTGGTTTCAACAGTCGCTTTCAGGTAAATATTTCTCCAAGTGGGGCTTATGGGACATCCTTACGGTGGCAAGACCTCAGATCTTGACGTCTCTATGGATCCTCACTGGTCTCTGCTGCAAGGCAGTGATCAGGTCCTATGGCTGGACTGGTGCCATCTCACCTTTTGGGATGTCATGCTGCCTCCCACCTCTGGTCTCCATGTTCCTGACCTAGAGTCACACAGCCCTTTGTCATGATGCCTGCTGTTCCACCAGGCCTCTAAGCTTGTCCACATCCCTGAAGTGATATGAGAGCACTTCAGAATCCCCTGCCAGCACAGACTCATGCAGCCAGCCACTTTCTCTTACCACTGCTATGCCCTAGGCCCCAATGTTGGCACAGCAACAGCCTACACAGCTCTCAAGCTTACAAATAAGGAGCAGACCCAAAGGTCTTCTACTTTTTTTTTTTTTTTAAGGCCTTCTACTTTTGACTGACCCGTCAACCCATTTAATACCCTCACCCCAACCCCAGAACTTTGGCCAGACAAGGAAGGTCAGAACATATGTTTCTCACAATCTATTTCCCCCCCGCCCATCCCCTGCTTCCCATAAGCCACCAGGGCTGAAAAAAGATGGACTTTCCAATTCATTCTCCTTCCTCCTGGGAGGCACTAAGCCTCATACTCAGCTTTAGTGATGGAAGAAATACCCTCTTTACCCTGCAGAAGAAACTATTATTAGAGTTTGCCATGGAAGCTCTTGATAATGGAAACTGCAGGCAACTTGGAACTTTAGAAAACCAAAAACAAAGAATGACTTTAAATTCCCCAAAATATTATCCCTTCACAACTCCAACAGTTAGAATCACTTGTGTACTAGGTCCCAGAGATATAAAGATTAGACTTAGGTCACTAAAGTGGGGAGACCTACAAACAAAATAATTACAATGGAATTTTATGTGTTACATATACCAAAACAAACAGAAGACACAAATAACCCTTGTCAATCTTCTCCAGCTCCATCAAATTAAAAATGGATAAGAAAAAGGATAATATAAATTATTTCAGGTCACAATTTCATTGTCATTTAATCTTTCTCCAATTTATATACCTCATTCTTTCCCACTCACAACACAAAATACCAGGAGCCAATCCATGAAAAAAAAAGGAAAGGAAAGGAAAAGAAAAGGAAAGGAAAAAAGCAAGAGAAGTCATAAAGCAGGTTTAAGTTTCTCTATTAATAAAAATAAATATGCAAGAACTAAAGCACTAATCAAAACAGCCCAAGGCCAAAGGAAATCAGGTAGAATCTTATAACAATAAATGATCTGGAGAGTAATGAAGTAATTACAATAAATACCTGTTCTTTTATTCTATTTTGGCCCCCCCCCCCACTTCCCATGGAACTGTTGTTATTCGTTACAAACTAATATTTTCATTCCATTTCTTAATTCAAATGGAAGGCAGCAAAAGGACAAAAACAACTAGAGGAGAATTCTGCGAGATGTTCATACTACAAATTAAAAGCTTACTACATGCCAGGCACTGGAGTTTACAAAAATTGAAAGACATCTACTCTTAAGGACTTCACAGCTAATAAGAAACAAATTTTACTTACAAGGTGATAAGGAACACAGAATTGTATCCCCCCATTGATGAGCATTCAATATTGGTAGAAAACTGCATAAGACAACGCACCAAAGTTTGATTTCTCTAACACTACCCTCAGGCTGCAGTGATTCCCAGCTAAGCACTTCAGAAACACAACAACCACTGAAGCAGAAGTGTTCAACAGAGCTCCTACTACTAGGAGCACTAGTTCAGCACCTGTGAACTATGTCCTAGCAATCCAAAATTAAGTGCAGGGCTTCCCTAGTGGCGCAGTGGTTGAGAGTCCGCCTGCCGATGCAGGGGACGCAGGTTCATGCCCCGGTCCGGGAGGATCCCACATGCTGCGGGGCGGCTGGGCCCGTGAGCCATGGCTGCTGGGCCTGGGCGTCCGGAGCCTGTGCTCCGCAGCGGGAGGGGCCACAGCTGTGAGAGGCCACAGCAGTGAGAGGCCCACGTACCGCAAAAAAAAAAAAAAAATCCATTTGTTTGTTTTAGTTTGTTTTGTTTGGATCCTTGGCATTTACTGATATTACCTTTCCTATGTTTATGTTTGCTGATTTCTCCATTATAATATGCATATGGTGGGAAGTAGAACCTACCTCCTTTCTTAAAAGCCACGAAGGCCAACTACTCACCTTCTCAACTTCCCTTGTAGCTAGGATGCAGGCAGTGACCCAAGCTCAACCAATCCAAGACACCCACTGAGAACTTTGAATCAGAAGCTAATATCCGGAGTTCCCTGGTTGCCTAGTGGTTAGGATTCCGGGCTTTTACTGCCACGGCCTAGGTTCAGTCCCTGGTCGGGGAACTGAGATCCAGCAAGCCTCGCGGCACAGCCAAAAAAATTAAATAGAAAAAAAAAAAAGAAAGAAAGAGAAAGCTAATATCACAAAGAAGCATGGCTGAGCTGGCAACTTTCCAGCAATAACCAGTTTCCCAAGCAGCAGTGGCAGCGGCAGTGGTGGCAAGAATAGCAGCAGCAGTAGGGTCCAGTGTCATAGTGCTGGCGACACATGCTGCAGAACCCAGTATTACCAGGCAGCGTCAGAAGGAACGTACTCTCCAGGTCCCAACCCCATCTACTTCTGAAGTGCAATTCTGACTGTGCAACTCCCCTGGTTCCTGCCCATTTTCAGAGCTGGGTTTCCTCTAGACTTTAAAAGGATGCCAAGAACTCCCCAAAACTCTTTCATGAAATTCCTTTTCTCGTTTAAATCATTACAGTTCTTGTTAATAAGAAAAATAAGTGATAGCAGTAATGGAATTTTATTGGTAAATCAAGAAGTATGCCACATACAAAGGGCTGGGTTTGTGCAGTCTATTTGGAAAGTGGACAATTCCATGTTCCATGTGAACTAAAGTTCAGCTCTGATAATTCAATTAATAATCTGTCATCGTGTATTCATTCCAAAACTTTTCTATTCCAACTACTAAATAACTTGGCAGTCTGGTTTCATCTGCAAGATGATCCACATCTTCATCAATTAATGTTATAAAACTTAAGAAAAAGCAAGTTCTCTGTTCTGGACTACATTCAAACTCTAGAAACACCTCCAAAGGATTTAACAGGATGAACATCCCAGCTTTCTCTCTAATTTGCTTGAATGAGAATCAAAGGTCTATAACTTTCAATGTTGAAGCCTTCAGCATTTCATTTCTTGAAAGGAATGAATTGTTTTCAACCACACAGTTTACAAAACCTTCAAGGTGTTCACTCCTCAAAGAATTTTTTTTGTTGTTGCTGTTATCATTACTTCAGGAAGCAACAAATACAATTAAGTAACTTTAAAATATGAAAATAAATTCCTCAATTATGAACCAAATAAGGACATAGTAATACTAACGGTCAAGCTACTGATTTGAGCTTTGCCCTTACCCCCTCACCTCCATCCACCCCAATCCCAGACTAATAGGTCTGGAAGAGCAGTCATGGAAAAAAATCATCCCAGCCATCTAAAACAGAGCTCTTCTCCTTGACATATAATAGGAGCTCAAGAACAATTGTTGCTTGAATACAATTCCTATGACTGTGCATACATATTACACATTTCCATAAATTGCTCTCCCATAGCACTTTACATTGACCCAGTGCTTACAGGCTTACAAAATACTTTCACATGAATTCTTGCATCTAGATAGGCGGTTAAGAGTTAGACCTGCCTGCAGTCATTAAATGCAAAGCACACGATGGAACCTCAGTAACTTATGCTCCTACAGCACAGTACTGCATCTCTATTTCAGCCCTTCTGATACATTGTAATTAATTATCTCGCTCACTTATCTGCTCCTTAAGGATTCTTAAGGACGTCCCGTTCATCTTTGTATCCCCAGGCCAAACAGAACCTGGACCACAGGAAGTGCTCCGTGAACACCAAGATTCTTCTGCGTCCTGCGAGCCCCGCACTTTCTTGGCGAGGCCTCGGCTGTCAGCCTGACTTACACCATCCGTTCTCCCACTCACCCCACCTCCGCCAACTGTGATTTCCACAACGGCACCAATGAAGCTTATCGCCTGAGACACAGACTTTTGTTCCGCAGCAAAACTACCCACGGCTCAACGTTTCCCCTTAAGTCTGCCCAACGGCTCTCTCCAGTTAATACTACGGCGGGGTGGTAGCGGGTCCAGCTGGGGCTGCGTCTGGGGTCCCTCCAACCCCCGCCGCGGCAGCCCAGGGGACGGCCAAGCGGAGTCTGTCAGCTGCGAGGCGTCCCCGGGAGCCGCTCATCTGGGGAAGTGCGGGGCTGGGCATCTGGGCAGCACCGGCGAGACCTTGTGCAGCCACAGCCAGGGGGAGTCCCGGGGAGGGCTGCCCCCCCCGCCACGCCCTCAGCACCCCGGACCCCTCACTGCTCTGGACTCAGGTGGGCGAGGGAGGTACGTACCCGAGGAGGCAGAGGTCGCAGACGACACCACGACTCCCCTTGCACACCGTGTACGCCAAAGGATCCGAGCGGAAAAGCAGCTCTCCGGGGCGCAGTGGCGCCAACGCACGCAGCCCGTTTCCCCTGTCGGCGGTGCTGAACTTTTCCACCTTCGACGCCTCCATCCTCGCAGAGCTCCCGCACCTCAGGCGTCCGCCGCGTTTCGCAGCTGGCGTCTCGCTGGCTGCCGGGAGCCGGGCGCCTGCGCCTTGCGCTCACGTACCCCGAGGGGCGGGGCGGGCGCGACGGAGCCTCTGAGCATGCCCAGATGGAGTCTCGAGGTTGGTCCCGCTGGTTGGGGTGAGGGCGTTGCTGGCCTTCCCACCTGCTCTCCCAACCTTTCGGACCCGAGGCGGTTCCGCGAGGAGAGGCGGTGTTTTTCCCCTCCAACATTTTATTAGGATAATTTTAATGCAGACGGGAAGTTGAGAGCACAGTGCAGTGAACACCTGTATACCCTCCACCTAGATCAAACAATTCTTACCATTTTGCGGTTTCTGCTCATTTTCTCCCAGTATGGATGTACGTATGTGTGTATGTACGTGTGTGTGTTTATAAAAGTTGTTGAGGGCTTCCCTGGTGGCGCAGTGGTTGAGAGTCCGCCTGCCGAGGCAGGAGACACGGGTTCATGCCCCGGTCCGGGAGGATCCCACATGCCGCGGAGCGGCTGGGCCCGTAAGCCATGGCCGCTGAGCCTGCGCGTCCGGAGCGTGTGCTCCGCAACGGGAGAGGCCCGCGTACCGAAAAAAAAAAAAAGTTGTTGAACCGCTTGAAAGTTGTTGTGTTGAACCGTTTGAGTTGCAGACATCATAACGTTCCATAACTAATACTTTACATCATGACATGTCATAATTAAATACTGTAGCATGCATTTCCACAGAATAAGAACAATATGCTATGAAACTACAACAAACAGGGACCGGACGCCGGAGCGGCGGCGCCATGAAGTCCCTCCCCCGCCTGCTGCTGCTTCTCCTGCTGCTGTTCCCTGCCAGCCTCTTGCTCCGAGGAGATCCTGGAGGCTCATTGGCAGTGACTCGAGGTCTTACAGAAGATGAAGAAACAGTGGAAGATTCTATAAATGAAGATGAAGACGATGAAGCAGAGGTGGAAGATGATGAACCCACATATTTGGCCGAAGATAAAGAGGAAGAAGATGTATCTGGTGAACCTGAAGCTTCACCGAGTGCAGATACAACCATCCTGTTTGTGAAAGGAGAGTTTCCAGCAGATAACATTGTGAAGTTCCTGGTAGGCTTTACAGACCAGATTTTATTGTTGAATCTCTAGACACCTCATTCCGTTATCTTCAGGACTACCAGTTTTACATCCAGAATTTCACAGCTCTTCCTCTGAACACTGTAGTGCCGCCCCAGAGGCAGGCAGTTTTTGAGTACTCCTTCATTCCTGCAGAGCCCGTGGGTGGAAGGCCCTTTGGTCTGGTCTGAACTACAAAGATTTGAACGGCAACATTTTCCAAGATGCTGTCTTCTATCAAACAGTTACAATTATTGAGACAGAAGATGGGTTAGATGGAGAAACAGTCTTCGGGTATATGTTCCTTACTGGTCTTGGGCTCTTTGTGGTTGTTGGCCTTCATCAGCTCCTAGAATCTAGAAAGCACAAGAGACCCATACAGAGGTAGAGATGGGTAGGTCAAGTCAGAATGATGTTGACATGAGCTGGATTCCTCAGGAAACTTTGAATCAAATCAATAAAGCTTCACCAAGAAGGTTGCCCAGGAGACAGGCACATCAGTGGGATCTGATGAGTAAATCTTCCTTTGTGCAACAGTTCGGTCTTTACTTAACCTGCACTAGTGTTTTTCAACATGATGGGAATTAGTGCAGAGAAGCCCTATCACCATAGAAAGCAACTACTACTTATGTGTGGACTGAGCAATCAGAGTCAATAATATTGCTGAAAATCCACTGCATTTATTTTTCTAAAGTAACAAATCTGGGGACTCCCCTGGTGATCCAGTGGTTAAGACTCCACACTTACACTGCAGGGGACACAGGTTCCATCCCTCCTCGGGGAACTAAGATCCTGTATGTCATGTGGTGCATCCAAAAAATAAATAAATAAATAAAGTAACAAATTTGAGGGTTTTTTAACCATTAAAATCTATGTGTGTGCGTGTGAGCAGTTGGTCTTACCAGAATCATAGTTAACTACTTGAAGCATGCCTTTAGAATACTAAATATAATGCTATTGTCTCTTCCTTTTGGATGTTTTCTGACATTTTCCCCCAAAACTCAATATTTGCCCAATATGATTATAGACATCCTGCCTTGGACTGTTTTTAAAGAAAACAATGTTTTTTCCTTAGAATAGCTCAAATCCCAATTGATGGCGCACTTTGCATGTTGTTGCTGTTTTACAACTAGTATTCTAAAAGCACAAGCAGGAGTAGCTGCTTTTTAGCAATAGAAGTGGTTTGGTATTTTGCTACTGTTTACTATAATGCACACCTTCAGAAACCTTCCCAAATGAGTTCAAGGAATTTGGGGAGCTCTAGCACCAAAATTGGGAAACATGAATATTCTGGGTTTGATATATAAAACCAACTTCTCTCTTTTAAAAAGAAAGGGGCTTCCCTGGTGGTGCAGTGGTTGAGAATCTGCCTGCCAACGCAGGGAACACGGGTTTGAGCCCTGGTCCGGGAAGATCCCACATGCCACGGAGCAACTAAGCCCATGCACCACCACTACCGAGCCTGCGCTCTAGAGCCCGTGGGACACAACTACTGAAGCCCACACACCTAGAGCCCGTGCTCCCCAACAAGAGAAGCCACTGCAATGAGAAGCCCGCTCACTGCAGCAAGGACTCAACACAGCCAAAAATAAATAAATTTTTCAAATAAATAAAACAAAGGGAGGGAGGCAGGAGGGAGGATGTAGGGAGGGACAGAGGGAAGCAAGGGAAAATGGTACGTTTGTGGAAAGTGAGTTGTCCATTGTTCTATTTCTGACCCAAGAGATAGCTCTAGAATTTTAGACCACTCTTTTTTTTTTAATAGATCTTTATTGGAGTATAATTGCTTCACAATACTGTGTTAGTTTCTGCTGTATAACAAAGTGCATCAGCCATGTGCATACATATGTCCCCATATCCCCTCCCTCTTGAGCCTCCCTCCCACCCTCCCTATCCCACCCCTCTAGGTGATCACAAAGCACCAAGCTGATCTCCCTGTGCTATTTTACATTCGGTAGTGTATATATGTCGATGCTACTCTCACTTCGCCCCAGCTTCCCCCTCCCACCCCGTGTCCTCAGGTCCATTCTCTATGTCTAAGGTACATTTCTCTTATAATTAGTGATGTTGAGCATTGAGCTTCTTTTCACGTGCCTCGTGGCCATCTGTATGTCTTCCTTGGTGAAATGTCTATTTAGGTCTTCTGCCTATTTTTTAACTGGATTGTTTGGTTTTTTTTTTTTGATACTGAGCTCCATGAGCTGTTTGTATATTTTGGAGATTAATCCTTTGCCTGTTTTTTCATTTGCAGATATTTTCTCCCATTCTGAGGGTTGTATTTTTGTCTTGTTTATGGTTTCCTTTGCTGTGCAAAAGACTTTAAGTCCCATTTCTTTATTTTTGTTTTTATTTCCGTTACTCTAGTGTTTTGTTTTTGAAGAGATCATTGTTCTCTCCTTAATAGAAGCATCTTGCTTAAGAAAAGTTGCCTTGGTCTACAGACTATTAGTCTACTAACTAATCCTAATCTGTGAAAGAATTGGATAATTGTTAATGGCTAACCAATTGCTTTTTATCTAACCTTTGGGGTATTTTGGCTGTTGATTTTTTTTTGAGTTAATCTAAAGAACTCGAAAATTTTAAGCACTTAAGATCTCAGAACCAAAATTAATTGGACTTCATAAAATTCCTCCTAGTTACCCTTGCCCTAGGTAGTAAATAAATTTGGCATTATTGTCAGACTGGATAAGTAGTACAGTAAAGTAGTATGAAAAAATAAGAGGCTTTTCCCGTCTGTCTTTAAGCCATATTCTCCCACATATATTTTGTAAGGAAATGGTAAATTAAAAAATTTTAAATAAATGTTTTAAATATTTATTTATTTACTTGTTTGCATTGGGTCTTAGTTGTGACGTGACAGCCCTCTAGTTGTGGCACTCAGGCTCCAGAGCACACAGGCTCAGTAGTTGCAGCGCACGGGCTTGGTTGCCCTGTGGCATGTGAGATCTTAGTTCCCTGAACAAGGATCAAACCCCTGTCCCCTGCATTGGAAGGCAGATTCTTAACCACTGGACCACCAGGGAAGTCCCAGTAAATGAAATTTTAGTAGCTGTTTAGTTCCTGATCTGTCTTCATTATATTGAACTGACCCCTCTTTATTATAATCCCCACCTGCACCCATGCCCACGCAAAAAACAAGAAAACAGAACACAAATGAAAAAATCTTTCCAAGTTGCTTAAGTATTTAAACATCTGAGCCAAAGCTGATGACAATAAAGCAAGTTACTGTATAGCTGTTAATCACTTTGCAAGTAGGACTAAGCACTAAGGTGTCAAATTAACTATATTGGCAATGCTGAGCTATAAACTTTCTATACCTGTAAAAAAAACCCAAAAACTACAATATCATCACATCTAAGAAAATTACTCTATAATAACAAGCAAAAAACATATTCACTTTAAGAATGGCTTTGGTAACTTTTTCATAAAAAACCGGGATTGCATTTTCTTTTTCATGACACTGACTCTTTCAAGATTCCAACCTAACAGCCACTATGGAGAAGAGTATGGAGGTTCCTTAAAAAACTAAAAATAGTATTACCGTATGACCCAGCAATCCCAGTACTGGGCATATACCCAGAGAAAACCATAATTCAAAAAGACACAGGCACCCCAATGTTCATTGCAGCACTATTTACAATAGCCAGGTCACGGAAGCAACCTAAATGCCCATCGACAGACGAATGGATAAAGAAGATGTGGTACATGTATACAATGGACTATTACTCAGCCATAAAAAGGAAGGAAATTGGGTCATTTGTAGAGATGTGGATGAATCTAGAGACTGTAATACAGAGTGAAGTAAGTCAGAAAGAGAAAAACAAATATTGCATATTAACGCATATATGTGGAACCTAGAAAAATGGTACAGATGAACAGGTTTGCAGGGCAGAAATTGAGATACAGAAGTAGAGAACAGGGGCTTCCCTG